TTTACAAGTTGGGCTACCTACATCTTGCCTTGTGATCCATATTGGCGTGTCCTCATATGTTGTTTACCATAGTTTTAGATAGGGGTCTTACTTGATAGTTTATTATATAATCAAGACGTTCACAAAATTGGGATTGGCTGATGCCGTCAGAGAATATAATTAATGTTAGATTTCTTCAGCCAAAAAACAGGCAGATGTTTATTTTGTCTTCAGTTTCTAAATTTTATTTATTTTATTATTAACGTTAATAGTATCTTAATAAGAACGATCATATCTTATATCTCCGTGTCACTTCTAACTGCGTGGTGATTCCCTATCCAGTAAGCAGGAGCCTGTCCGTTTACACAAGACGTTTTGTAGACGTGTCTATAAGACGTCTATTAGACGTGTCTAAAAAGAGTCAAATCGACATCTATTTAGATGCGAAATTCGATCTACTTTAAACGTATCGAATAGACATCTATTATACGTCTATTCGACTTCACGTTTCTCCCTGGGAAGGTTATGTTCAACGTAGAATTCTTCGAATCTCAAATATAGAAATAAAATACACATTGAGTAAATAAAAAATAGTGTTAAAAAAGCTTAAGAGGAAACAAATATGAAATCATAAAAATGTTAAAATATAATATTTATTCATATAAACTATTGTCCTTTAAAAAGAACGGTTTTTGTACAAGTGTGTCGAACAAAATTATCGTGCTCTTTCAGAGAAAGAACTTTACCCTCGTATCTTAATTTTACCTCTAAGTATTCCAATATAATTAATTTTATTAATTCGTATTTATCACCAGGATATCGTATCTTTTTTGTTGGAGTTCTGCATATCTCCATATCTCCATTTAGAGAATCATCTTGTAGATTTAATTCCACAGTTCCAGTTTCCAAACTATAAATGCAAAAAATTAATAAGTATAACGATTAAGAAAACATGCAATAAAAATTATGTTATTACTGATTCGTGGATATCGTCTTTGGAGTTAATGAATTGCTGCTTTCTTTGGTAAGCTGAGTTGTTGAATTAATACTGTCAACTTCTTCAAAAAGCTTAACTTTTTGATTATTATTATGTTTGGAGAAGCGATTAAAACCCATGCAATCTGGGATTTGCGAAAAGATGATCCTTCTTCTTCGTGGTCCGCGCTCCGCAACTACCCAATGCATACGGGCTCTCCTATTGGTCCGTGCATAATTCATCCTTCTAGGCTCTTTTCATGGTCCGCGCTCTACACCTACTCGACTCGTGTGGACCGCTTCTACGGCCCGCACTTCCAGCCAATCAGGCAAGGGCGCGCTCGGTACCAACTCGATTCGTACGAAACCACTAGATTACCGCTCTCTCCACCAATCAAACACGCTATCTGAGACGGGCCCTCTCCATGGTCCGCGCTTTGCGACTAGAGGTCAAGGCACGCAGTGATCCCAGATTGCGGGATTTCTGGCGCACGCGCAGTAGCGCAAGCTTGAGCAGCCGCTCAGTAGCGTATACGTTCTTCTTAACTTGAGGGTTTATATAGAACCCTTATAAGAAGAGTATAGGAAATATTGTATAAAAAGGTTTTTATCAATAAAATAAACACAGACATAAATGTTAATAATAATTTTTATTATTTGGAAGTGACTTTAATTCTTAGTGCGTCTGCAGGCGACTTATTACATGATGAACACCAACATTTGTTGCAGGGATAAGGAAAACTGCAGAAAACCTCACCAGTGTTCCAAAATATATACATTTCTATACGAATTATAAATATATACGAAGTAAAATTTAAGTACAAATTAAGAAAATATTTAAGAATTAAGAAGATAAAAATTTGAATGAGATACAATTTATATAATTAAAATAAGCAAATTATGAAATAAAATAAATAAAAATGAAACACTTAATGAAATAACTAACAAGCCGCATAAAATTATTTCAACAAAAAATATGCACATTTTCATATATCTATCTTCTTTGGTAGACTTTGGCAAAATAATAGACGCTGAAAAATTTCTGAAACAACTACAAATTAGATTAATAATATAAACCCCCCTTTTCCCACAAATCAAAATAAAATGTTTCTTTTTATTCTAACAAATAAAAAAAAATATTGCACTTCTAGAGGGAAACAAAATGTTGCACACATCAGAATAAAACTAAAATCTTTAGATAATCTTAAATAAAAAAGTAATATTGGCACACATATAGACTATTAATAAAATTACAATTAAAAAATAATATAAATAAAAAGTAATACTATAATTTAATGAACTAACAAAAATAATAAATAAAAGGATTGCACTTTTAATTTTACACCTGCAATAAAATTAAGAATAAGAAGAAATTAAGAATTAAGAATAAAAAGAGGAATTATTATTTAAATAATATCGAGTGGACAAACAACATAACAAGATATACATTAGACATTATTATACAAGTTACAAAAATGTAATTAAGTTACATTTTAAAAAGAATAAATTTGTAATTTGAGAAGTATATGTAAGTTTTTGAAATATTAAAAATGTTTAAAAATAAAAATAATTATTTAGTTTTGTTCTGTATATTACTTGTATTAGAAGAATATAAATTTTGAGAATTATGTAACTGTAAATGC